AGCAAGGACGCTACTAGGAGCTCCTGGCCGTGCTACTAGGAGCAAGGACGACGCTACTAGGGGCTCCGGGCCTTACTATTAGCAGCAAGGACGCTACTAGGAGCTCCTGGCCGTGCTACTAGGAGCAAGGACGCTACTAGGGGCTCCTGGTGTGAATCTCAGTAGGTCAAGGAACCTTTCACCATTTTTTACCATGACCAGAGTCTTTCATCCACTCTCTTTAAGCCCCACATTGGTCTCTCCACCGGCGCTCTCAGGACTTTCCGCTTGTGGGAAATCGCCGCTGGGTCCGCAAGTGATCAGAGGTGACTCATATGAGTCGTATGAGTCATTGTACGCGCGTGAAGTCTTAAGGATTTGGTACTAACAATATAGTAATAGGTAATGTCAGGAGTTATAAATGGGCCGATTTGTGAAACAATCACACCAAGTTGTGCTTTTCTATTAGGGTTTGTTTTTCATCCAAGCTGCTGTTTTCCCTCTGACACAAAAGGATTGACATGTTTCTAGAGGTTTGGAGTTTACCTGTGTTTGGGAGACAGTACCGCAGAATATATCCTTCAAAACCTTTATAGTACTTTAGTATTTGGTGTAGCACCATTCGACACTCGCTTGCAGATCCTGATGGTTCATCAACTCCTGGATTTGTTCATGTTTGCTTCCTTTCTCATGTCAGATGTGTGATAGGGGAAGCAGACATAGACCATGAGCAGAGGCAACGTGCCTTTTTCGGGTAAAGGACCTTTTTCACATGTCCGCCTCCCGGCGCGACCAACGAACGCTGGTTCGATTAGGGGATCTGGAGCCACACACCATCAGCTTGATGGGTGCCTGGGACTGAAGACGACCGTGACGGAGGAGACGGGGAGCTGAGCTGAGCCGAGGATGGGGCTGGATGAATGACGAACGAAGAGAATGAGAGATGACTTTGCTGGTGGTTCGCAAGTTTGCTCTCACTATCTCTCACTTCATCGGCTAAAAGGGGAACGTCTTTGTGTAAGACTTAGGCATAGGCCAAGCAAGGTGAGATGGGGTGATTCACGAACCGCACTACCCCTGGAATCCTGATGCTGTGTGTCAAAAAAGGTCCAGAGTGACAACATATATGGCCAGTTCACGGTCTTCAGTCACGCATGGATTGAACATCGCTCAAATTCACATAGACACAGTTCTTCAAAAAATGACTCAAAGCACCGGAGATTTTCCTGAAGACAGATTGTCCCGGGCCTCATCTACCATTTCCCTCTCAAAAGATCTTTCGCTCAGGTCGGGGTTTGGAATCCTTGCGCCTCATCAATGCCTTCATGGGCACCAACTCCTTTGGCCTCACCGAGTGCCCACCACCTCCGCCGGACATGCCGCCGCCGCCGCCGGACGCGCCGCCGCCCAACCCGGGCGCGTGAGACGCGACCCCACCCGAAAGCCGTGCGTGCAATCACGACGGCAGTGGGAATTCCTGCGGCCAAGTTGGAGCCGAAGACGAGGCCAGAGGACATGGAACTGGATAGAGGTTGATAGAGGACATGGTTGTGCACATTGTCTTATGGGAATTGTCCAGCTGCATTTTATGACCATGTGTTAAGAGTACAAGATAAGCTTGGATATCCTTGGATATTCCTTCTTGAAGAATCAGAATCCCTTTTGGCAGTATGACCATTGGTTAAACCTTGACTTTTTGAGTGCACCCCTTTTTTTGAAACACTTGGAGTATCTATCTTCTTTGCTCGCCAGGTCGCCAGGCATCTAGATCTACCAGACCAGAGGGCTTGTTGCGCTGCAGCACCGGAGAGAAGAAAAGATTCCGAGCACCGGAGCGATGGGAAAAGCACAGCTTCTTCTTAATAGGAACAAGATGCAAGGGCATCGCTACTAGTAAAAAAGGGCATTACTACTAGTAGCATTCTTGCTACTAGGAACAAGAAGCTACTGGTAGCTATTTGCTCCTAGTAGTAAGGCCAGGAGCCCTTAGTAGTGTCCTTGCTCCTATTGTTCCTAGTAGCTTCTTGCTCGTAGTGGAAAAGTTTCCGGAGGGTGTGATGAAAACACCAGCGACAAACTTTTCTAAGTATCTCCTCATGCGACAACGCCTATATGCCGAAGAAGAAACACCGAGGTCAATGTCTCTTGAACATCTATAGACAACTCGATCAAGCCCAATTTGCTGGCATCCGGCCACAGCATCCCTGCAGCACCAACCTAAACGGATGCCGCATGTTGCCATGCTGCCAGGTGCCCAAGACGATGCCTTTGCATCATCGCATGCGTTGTGCGCAGCGCAAGAAAGGCGAGTCAGCCTGGGTCGGGTCATGCAGAGAGTTCGTGGACGAGATGAGACGGAGTATAGGCTATAATAGGTGATCGGAATTTTTGGGATCCACTTCAGATGGTTTTCTGGCTGAGTTTTGACGAATGACTCATGACCTTGCGATTAGTGCTGTTTTTTTGGATCGTTTGATTATTTGATTCACCAACCTGTCAGATTGGTCGCTGGAATGTGCTTGGGATACGCTCCCTCGATCTGCTAGGCTCCCAGATCTTCCAGAATATCCGTGAAACTTTGCCCGTGCTTGGCAGGACCTGCTCGCAAGGGCATCGAAAACGAGTCCACCAACTCAGCGCCTCCCTCGGAGGTGTGGGACTTGACCCGAGCGTGCTTTCTTTCCTTCTTTCTTTCTCTCTAGTTAGTAGCGTCCTTGTTACTACTAGTAAGGTCCTTGCTTTCTTTCTTTCTTTTTTTGACCCCAACACCCCACATTTGCAGGATAAGATCGTCATCCTTCCATTTTCGATGTTGCATCATGTTGTATACTAACACCCCAAACCAAAAATGAAAGGTGACCAACCAACCTCTGACTCAGGACCTGAACAGTACCCCGCTCCGAACAGATGTAACGCCGCTCCGTTCTGATGCCATTCAGGAGCTGAAGGAGAAGCTGCAAAAGCTGGAGGAGCCGCCCAGCGCGCCGCCCAAGCGCCGGCGGACCAAGCAGGCGCTGCTTGGGCGGATGAGAGTTGCTTTGTGACCAGGTGGAGTGTCAAGGGGGGGCTACTATGAGTTCTAGGCTGGCTAAGGGTCAAGAATACAGAAGAAGTCAGAAACAGGAACTAATTTCATCAAAGAAATGTGGAAATTAGTTCCTGTTGAATCATCAACCATGTGAAATCCTTCATCTTTGATGTTCGACAAAAGGTGGCTCCGTCCGCATCCGGCACCAGGCGGAGAATGCTCCTCGGCTGCCGCTGCAGGAGATCCGCCAGGCGCGCCGGAAGTGCGGCCGATGGGTGGAGACGGCTGGGGCTGGGGGGATTGGATGTCATTGATTGTTTTCAATTGGAAGATGGAGTAATTGTAATATTACGTTAAACCATGGAATCTATCATGGTTTGGGAATTTTTCCTTAGTGTAAAGGCCTACCCATCCAACAAGTATATAGCTGAGGTGAATGTAGATAAATGATGAGTTGAGTAAGGCTGCGATGTGGGTTGGAGTGCCAGAGAGGCGTGTTCAACGGTAAGGTTCAAGGGAAAGTCACCCGGACACGGGGGTTGGTTACTTACCAAAGTCCCCATCTCCCATAGGCAATCTTCGGATTGATCCGTTTTATTGCGGTCAAATCGAGCAAATTGTCAAGAGTCTTGATGAAAAGCAGCTTTTTTTTAAATAGCTTTATGAGGTTCAGTTTACAGGAGAGTCCTGACCACCATTGCTTATCCTTTTGTGCTTCAGCAGGAAAGGTCGGAAAGGATCGGGCTTGGCCCGGAATCCATGGCCGTTCCTTTCGAACAAGGTCACTGGCAGTTCGCTTCACGAAACCTCCAAGCGAATCCGATCCTGCGCGTGGAAGGCCTCCCGCAAGAGCGCTGAGGCCTAATGAGCCATCCCAGCGCGGCCAGGAACGCGAGAGACTCGAGACCCAATTCGTAGCTGAGAACTGGCAGGTCATGGGTGGCAGGTCAACGTAGAAACCCGGTACCACGAAGGGAGAAAAAGGTTCGGAACAGACACATTCCTGCTTTGTGGTCGAAGATCTTGGTGCTGTCGATCATGCCAAGTCTTGCTCTACCGCAGGTATGCGTACATACACGGCCCCAACTCAGGATCAAGATCAGGGCTGTTGAGGGACAGGTGGCCAATGGGTAAGGGGTCGATACTCAAGGATAGGTGCTCATAGGGGCAACCAGCCAAATGGACTGCAGACAGGATTGGCAAAAGAACTCGAGACTGCGCACATGAATGGTTCCTGATGTGTTCGCGCGGCCGAAAGTGTTTTCTAAGTCTCAACCTTTTCCCTTCCAGAGAGGCAACACAGCTCTAAGGCGCCTAGCAAGGAAACAGCCCAAAGATATCCAAAGATGATACAGTGCACTTGGCCTCGGACACGAGTCTGAAAAGATGGGCAGTTTCAAACATCTTCTTGTAACAAGAAGCTAGTAGTAACAAGTGCCACGCTAGTAGTAACAGGTGCCTTACTAGTAGTAACAAGAAGCTAGTAGTAACTTCGCCTGAAAGAGATGAACATCGATGGCGATGTTTAGAGACAGCAATTGAAGGAAGAGGTTAATTCGCTGCAAATTGGGCAGCTGCCCGTGGCTTTACTCAGCCCCGGCTGAGATATGGCTTTCAGGAAACCGCCGCAGAGAGGAAGGATTGTTCGATGTATTTGGGTTGATGTTTGGGTTGATGCTTCTTGTTAGCGAACATTGCCCCTAGTAGCGATGCCAGGAGCCCCTAGTAGCTTCTTGGTCATGTCTCCAGGACAGCCAGTGCAGCTGAAAACAGCTTTCATACTTGTCTTCTAGAGGAAGGAGCCAGCCCCGGCTGGAGGGAAAATCTACAGTTCGAGCCCAAAAGCAGATATGACGTCGCCCGTCAGAAGGCTCAATAACTATACATTCAATGTTCAGGTATTCAGATATTCAAAACCATTATAAATATATACGCAGATTCTGCATGGTGACAAGCACCATGTTGCAAAATGTAGCTTCCATGGACACCGATGCAACTTTGTAATGACATAGTCATGCTTCCCAGATGATTAAATCACGGAAAACCATGAAAACTACTCCAGGCCACTCCGAACCTCAGCATGATTGGCGGCCATCGCTATGAGGTTGGCGGCCATCGCTACTAGGGTGGAGGCCATGACTATTAGTTTGGAGGCCATTGCTACATCCCTAGTAGCGTCCTTGCTCCTAGTAGCGATGCCAGGAGCCCCTAGGTGCGTCCTTGCTCCTAATGGTAAGGCCAGGAGCCCCTAGTAGCGAACCTTGTTCCTGCTACTATAGTAGCTATATCCCAAGAAAGGCCCTCTTCAATGCGGCGACGGTTTCGCACCAAATCCACCTGTCGCCACGCGCCGAAATCCACCGTGGCGGCGACCGTCGACGACCTTCGGACGGGGTCCGGAGCCAAACAGCGCGTGGAGCCGGGCGCGGAGGGGCAGATGTGATGGAGAATGGTCTTTGGCTGGACTTTGAGTTAGTTGTTTTTGTTTGGTTTTGTTCTTTTTTTTCTGCTTGTAACTGTAGCAGCCGTCAGTTTCTTTTTTAATCGTGAGTCATGGGGATTCCCGAAAGCTGACATCTTGTTCATGTGGTTTCCTGATGTTGATCTTGGGAAGCCCCTTAAGCCAGCCAAGGAGTTTCAAACCTATTCAGAGTTCATGTCAGTGGATGCTGGTAGTCTCCTTAGGGGTCTTCAGGTCGATCCAACAAGTGTGTGAGAGACTCTTTGGAAAAGTCTCGGGCGAGAATCCATTTGTATTTCTCTTAGAATCCTTCAAATCTCACTCGTATGGCCTTTTACAAGTTGCACGATGCTATTCAAGGAACAACTTAGTTGCTGTAGGTTCTGAATTCCTGCGTTAAAGATGCTATCCTGAGGTCTTTCTGCCTCGCTTCTCCCCACTTGCCTCCCTTCATGTCTTCATCTTTATGGCTCCTGTCGCAACTGGTTTCTGCTATTTAGCTTTCCACCAAGCCCGCTTAGACTCGAGCGAAGGTTGCACTCCCCCCCAAAAGAAGACTTTGGAAGACTTTGAGGTGTCCTCGCTGTGTTGACAGGCAGGACATGACAGGCAGGAATGCATTCCGAATGGGACATGGCCAGGATACCCCCTGAATTTGTCGGGTTTGAGTCGTTGTCGTTTCGCCGAAAGGACGTTCGTTCCGTCCGGCTCCATCGCAGCTGTTGGCTGTGTTCTCCCGAACACGAGCCGATTGGGACACCGATGTGGCTGGAAGCCGGGTCTCTTAGCAGGCGCCGAAGGCGACTCGTCCTCGCGACTAGCCCGAGTCGTCCACGTGGCATTCCAGAGTGAACGTAGATGAATGAAAAGGTCAATGCTAATCAGTGGCATGAAACAATGACTAGGCAGTTGGACCCTGAAGAGGGTGAATGTGCAGATTCGGATGCTGCCTTGGTCGCCATCAGAAGCAACGTAGACAGAAGCTCCAAGCAGTGAATTTTGGATGCATGTTACCGTGTTTATGGTTCACACATCAATAAGTCCAATATGTTGTTTTGGTAGCCCGGTGGACCAAAATAGGCCTGGGGGCTTTGGCCTTGTGAGTGTTTCCTTGCTCAATTCGTACGTCGATACATCAGATTGTGAATCTTTGTCTTGAGTGGCCAACAATTTGATCACGTTCACAATGGCTGTATCATGATTCTCCACAAGGATTGGCATCGCGACAAAAGCAACAAGATTACATAGATTACATAGATAATCATAAGATAAAACTAATGATACAACTATATGTGTATCAAATTGAGATTCCACATTCCTCCTGTACTACAATATACTATGAGCATGTTCTTGCGATTCTTTCTCGACTGCTCTCATCCATATTCACCACCCAAGGTGAACCATGGAGGCCGTCGAAGGGGAAGTCTCTCCAAGCCAGGAATCCGGTGGTTCAGTCAGCACTGACGTTCTCGAATGTAACGCTCAGGGCTTCGCAAAGCGAACGTGCAGGAAGAAGGAGGGTTGCAACATGGTGCGAATAAGTAGCTAGAAGCTAGAAGCTACTAGGGGCTCCTGGCATCGCTACTAGGAGCAAGTACTCTACTAGGGGCTCCTGGCCATACTACTAGGAACAAGAAACTACTAGTAACAAGGGCATTACTACTAGTTTATTTGGATTGAAAACAGAACCGGTCCGTGTGGTGCGACCACAGGACCCCAGACATGTTAATCCAAGAAGGTTTACCACTTAAGGATACATGATTCTTAACAACTGCAGCACAGAAGGATTGATCGAATACGCCTGCAAATCCATGGACCGGTGGAGGTCTTGGACCGGTCGCTCTGACACTTGCCACTTGCAGACTAGTCTCTATGGACTCTATGGCCCTGTGGCCAAATCATTTATTGCTCCTATAAGCTTCTAGTTACCAGTAGTAATGGCCTCCAACCTAATAGCAATGGCCTCCAACCTAGTAGCTTCTAGCTACTAGCAGTAATGCCGTTGTTACTAGTAGCGATGCCCTTGTTACCAGTAGCTTCTAGCTACTAGTAGTAATGCCCTTGTTACTAGTAGCGAGGCCCTTGTTACTAGTAGCTTCTAGCTACTAGTAGTAATGCCCTTGTTACTACTAGTAGCGATGCCCTTGTTACCAGTAGCTTCTAGCTACTAGTAG